AGAGAGAGAGAGAGAGAGAGAGAGAGAGAGAGAGAGAGAGAGAGAGACTTTTTGGAACCTCAAAGCCCATTCCCAGTGTCACACTTCAATAAGGCCACACCTCCTAATCCTTTGAAATAGTGCTGCTCTTCGGTGACCAAGTATTCAAATCTATGAGCTCCTGGGGGCCATTCTCATTCAGTCCAGCACAAAAGAGCACAGTACCTGACTTGATGCTGTGTGTGTGACACATAGCAAGGCTCTGACTCACAAAGCCAAGAAGCCAAAAATAAACAAAAAACAAGTTAAATAAGTTTTTTTTTTTTTTTGGTAGATAACCATTCAAGAACACACAGAAAGATGCTAGGTTTTAGTATTTTTGAAGGTTTTTTATTCATGTTTACATTCCTAATATCCATGACCTCTCCACCCCATTTCCCACACTGCCAGGTACCCCAAGTGCCTCGGGTGGCCTGTGTTTACAGCACTCAGCTGATTGGTACACAACAGAAGGCACGGTAAAAATAAACAGCACATGGCAAAGCGTGACTTTTTAGAAAGAATAATTAAAGCAGAGAAAGTATCTCATTTGAATTCTTAAATACGGTGATCAGGTTGTTGGCTTAAACAATACTCAAAGGAAGGGCTGGCGAGATGACTCGGTGGGTGAAGGTGTCTGCTGTCAACCCTGATGACCCGAGTTTACGCTTGGGACCCACCTGCAGGAATGGATGACCCAGCTCCCACAAGTGCTCCTCTACGCGCACCTCCATCCACACCCCTTAACTCCAGACACACAAAGAACTTTTTAGTAAAAACAATCAAACAGCATGGAAAGGGGACTTCTTCCTTCCTGCTACTTTCTGTGAGTGCCTCCCACTAGCTTCTGTTCATCCTTCTGTCTTGACATGTGACTCATTCCGGTGCACTGACTTCTGTACCTGTTTACCCTTTTCTCTTCCTCAAGCCCCTGGAGGACAACCTGGAGGATGATTTTAAAAAAACAAAACAAAACAGAACAAAACACAGCCGTCGCCTCAAGGAGAAGAAGAGATAGTTTATCCTGGAGTAACCATGGCCTTTGAACACAGACTCAGGTCCCCAATTCCATATTCCAACCTGGTGACAGATTCATGAGTGTTTATAGGAACAGAATGAAGGAAGCCATAAGTCAAGATGAGTTTTCAAGTACATTGGCAAAAACATCAGGCAGGTGAGTGGGTTACAGCGAGACGGGGCAATCTCTGCTGTAGGTCTCCCATGCCAGCAGATGACATCCTTAGCCTTTGTGCTGGTGGAAGCTAGGGGATGTTTGTAAAGTCCAAGAGGACCTACCTAATAGCCACAAGGATGTTAGGTCACACACACAGTTGGGTAATGCTGCAGAGAGCTGGAAAAAATTTTGGTTCTCATCCTCTAACAACCCAGCTGTCTATAGTCACAGGTTTTAATCTGTCAATCAGCTTGTAGAATGCTTAATGCAGATGTGCCCCTCACTTGGTAACCTCAGTCCACAGTGTCTCTGGCTTCCTGTTTTGTGAGCAGTAGCTGGTACCTGGCATGCAGTAAGTACTTCATTATTGCATGTTCAGTGAATATATGTGATTTGTTTCCACAACTAACCAGAATTAATCACGTGGACTTTTGTGTCCGTCCCACAGCCCACCAGAGTGCCCATCATTGAGGACTGAGTTACTGCAGGTAGAGATTCGACAGTCACAAGTTCTTAGAGGAAAGTGCCCCAAGGCTTCGATGATGAAGTTCAAGGGTGGCTTGGAAGACTGGTAATCAACCCAGCTAGAAAAGGATTCTGACCACAATTTCAGGCTGTTAGAATTTTCAGTAGATCAATTGTCAGATTTGGTGCAAGAAAATGTTGGGAGCAAGGGGCCAAGTGGGGGAATTAGGGGTACCTGGCTGATGTATAGGACATAACGTTTGTGCAAAAGGTCAAATGATGTCCTCACTGATAAAAGACATCTCCAATAGAAAGCAAGCACATCTTTATACTGGAATATGATGACACAGTAATTGTGCTACTTTGGCCTTTTGTTTTTCTGCTAATATTACATCACTGAACCACACAGGCATGGTGAGGAGGGGACAATAAAAATAAGTTATCAATGCACTATTAACTCAGCGTGCTCTTACCTATTAATAAGACATTGATGTCTCCTCTTAAGCGTGTCCCATTGAGAAGCACTTTCTCATTACCTCCAAGCGGCATACACAAAATGGCTTTTTTAATATACTCATGTCTGTGGATGCTTGGTGCTAAAGACTTGCTTAAATGGTCAAAGATATCCTATTTAAGAAACAGGAAACACTTACATAGCACATTATCAACATTAGAATAGAATCTCATTATCCATTAGCTGGTATTTGTGCGATTTACAACTCTCTTTAGATTGAGTTTTGCAGAATTTCATGATCTTTGCCACATCATCAGCTGAACACGTAGGTATGATGTCTTTGCTCATCAGTTTGACAATATTAGCCAAGATTATGGCTGGAGAAATCTTTTAAGAGATGCTTCTAATTAACTATTAAATAAATGCATGGATGACGTTATCTTCATAACAGATAAGCTACTTGGAAATTGCCTTCCATAAAACAGAATGAGTTAAATTTTTCTCTTTGTGTTTTTGTTAACCTCCTCTCAATCTTGGGCAGAACATTCTACAGTGTATTGTTTTTAGACTTCGATTCTCTTAAAAGTTTTCAAAGAAAAAAAGCTGGAAAGGGAAACTCTGAAATGGCCTTTGGGAATTAAAGATGCATCAAATGACTGCGATGTTCCTTCTGCCTAGAGGCAGATCCAGCAGAATGCATCTGCTTCTTCACACAGAGAGAGAAGACAACCTAACAGAGGCGAGCCTTTCAAGCTGCAAAAAGTAAATCACCTTATAAATTAGAGAGGATTAGATATTCATGAAGCTAAAAACTTTTTTGTATCATTTTGAATGAGAAAAGACAAATAAAAATGAAAAAAAAAGCTAGAAGTAGCTGTCTGTGTCCTTTGAAAGCTGACGTTATTTCATTGGATTGAAAACTAATTGTAGGCTTTAATTTTGGGCACAAAAAAATTTTAAAGTAAGTAAGTACAGGTATTTCAACAAACTTCGGATTTAATAAATGTTAATCTTCCTTACAAAACAAAAATCAAAACACTAAAAGAATAATTTACTTTCATAAGCAGAATTTAAAATAAGTTTAAATCTACCAACTCAAAGACAAAAACATTGCTGCTGTTTCCGGAGGGCACAGACTGGGCCAATCCTGGGACACTAGCAAGGTGGAAACATGACTTACCATCGTGTGGTTGTTGAGATTCTTAAGTTTACTGTTATGGAAGGGCATGGCCTTGTGGTACTGATGAGGGTGATACTGATTGGGCTGCCTGGCGAGGCGGCCGGCCATGCCGGGGAGGAAAAGGTTGATGGAAGGGTGGAGAAGGAAAAAAGAACTCACTTGCTTCATTTAAACCCACCAGGGCTGGAGAGATTGCTCAGTGGTTAAGAACACTTGCTCCTCTCCTAGAGGACCTGAGTTTGGTTCCCAGAATCCTGTTAGATGGTTCACAACTTTCCTGTAACTCCAATTCCAGGGGGTCCAATGCCTCTGCACTTGCACTCACACGTATATATTGGCCACACACACGCAATTTAAAATGTAAGATGAGTACGTTTTAAAAATCTACCAATACTGTCATTCACCCACTTATCATCTTGTCCACCAAAAAACCAAAGCTGTTAAATTGTCCACCATGGACCGAGTGAGACATTAGCTGTGGAGGAGCACGAAGACCAGTCAGACCGATTCCTGACCTGAGAAAGAGAATCTAAAGGCCAGCTCATTCTTGTCAGGGAAAAGGTCAATGCTGATGTCTCATCAGGACAGAGACCCCTCCCCTCCCTCTGCTGGCTTGTAAGCTTCCTTTGCTTTTATTTTTCCTTTGAGATTCCATTTCCCTTTTCAAGAAAATGAAGTCTTGCTTTTGTTTCCGGAAGGCTATTTTATTCCTTCCTTACTGCCCCTAGGACTGTAAGCTTGTCCAAGTTAGGGAAAAGGAGAATAAATTATTCTAGGCTGAGAGGTCTTTTGTGGAGTTTATTCCATTTTTTTTAAACAATAAAGGTATGCAATATCTTGTTGTGTTCCATTCATGGGCTGTAGGGATGTCTTACTTTATTTTCTACTGTGACAAAACATTCTGACCAAAAGGCAGG